TTATATGAATTTATTCAAAAAAGAAAACGCTAAATAAAACAAGGATTGACGTGAGCGTAGCAGTAGTCCAGGCTTTACCTAAAAGCAATGGTTGGAGTTAGTAAGGAACAGAAATAATATAAAGGTAGGGAAACATTGATAGCAAAGGGCATTCCGCGTACCTCCAGAGTGAAGAGCATCGCTAATCCAGTCGCTTAGTTGTGACTTAAGACGGATCCTAGCATCTGTTAATGACTGGAGATCACGCGGCGATGCGGGGTACATGTCAGCACAATGTGCGGTACCTGGAGTATGTCGTAGGCTCATCATTAGTAAGTAAATTTTCAAAGTTTTACCATCGATCAAGAACGCGTCCACTTTGTTGTTTGCATTGCCTTTCAGGAGACCAAGAGATTTCCACGGGTCGATTGAGCCATTAGGGAATGCAGCTTTCGTGCCCTTGATAGGAAATGTTCAGAAGCTTGACGTTGTAAAATCGAAAATGTTAAATACCATTCTACTATTAAGTCATTTTTAGACCAATCAAATCTCAGATCAGAATAGTTTCCTATATTTTTGTTAATTACACGTATTGAAGTTTACCCTATAAGCATCAGCTCCTCCATATTTTTGTAATACAGCCGCAACACGTTGGTAAGTTGAATCCAGCGTGTATTCTGGACTAAAGAGATCTATACATTGGTCCGAGTAGAAGCTTAAACAAAATTCATTACTGTTCTCTAAAGGTTTTTTAAGGTCATAGTTGGTCAACCTACTCCACTGGTAAAGTGCTACCAAAAATCCCGTTGTTTCCTCCATCAGTAGTCTGAAAGTAGCCTAATTCGGTGCATGTCTGCCAAATCCATCCCCGCATTGCGACTGAAACAACAGAAAACTGAGGGGCCTTTAAGAAATCTAAAGACATTGAATCCATTCTGAATCTATTCCTATGTCAGATTCATATTCACAAAATGCCACAATGAGAATATGTTAGGGTGAAGAGATATTTGTCCAATCTTCATAATTAGGAACACATTCTATGCAGCGATTTGCTGTAGAAAAAGTACATCACACGTTTACCGTTCTCTACGTTATTTAACCTCATAACATCGCCTATCTCGATATACTTCCGGAAAAAAATTTCGCGCTTAAATTTTATCGAAGTCTTTCTTCGTCATCGCCTTTTCCCTTATTGAAAAAGTCTAAATTTGGTGCAGTTTTTAGTGCACCAAATTTAGACTTTTTAGTCCAAATTTGGTGCAGTCCCTCGTGATGGTCTACCGCCTCATCGTGGTGCGGGGGTGACTCTAGTTGTCGAACTGCGAAATACAGCGGAGGTTTATCCTCCAGCAGGGTCTAAGCTGAAAAGAAGTTCGACGTTTCCGGTTCTCCGGATGCCCAGCTAGGAGTAGGCCATGCCAGAAGTCCCACCGTCTGGCTGATTGAGTCGCTAGGTGGTTCTCTGATCCATATAGGTCAGCGACTGCCTGTGGTGAAAGCTTAGCAAGCCTTGGCAAGGCTGTTAAGTTTGGGGAGAAATTTTATCGCCTGTACAGCATATAAAAGAAATAGGAGCCCTGCACGCTGGATGACATCTCCGGCGACGGATGTCATCAAGACCAGTGTCAGCTTGCACAGGACGCCATGGATTTCGGACCAAAAAGACACGTCAACGACTCGCCATGGAGATTGTCTCATGC